CCTCTTCTGCGCGCTCAGGTTCGTTATTTCAAATGTAGACGCGCTGCAAGCACACACACACTGCACACTTCTGCGCCGCATTACGGCACTGACGACCATGCCATAGGTGCAGATTTATGTTTCTGCCAGTCGGTGCCCACTGCATAACGCGCACTTGCTATATCTGAGTGAGAGGGAGAGTGTCCAGTTTTGTTGACATAAAACTGGACGCGCCGGCAGCACTCTCTCACTTTTTATAGTTAGTGAGGGAAATCCACCTGTGATCCCAGCTGAGAGGTTAGGCTACTCATGGACTGATTATGCGCTCTGCAGTAATAACGTGATCGGTGACTATATGGTCCACGCTGATAGCTGTTCCAGGGCAGTTTTTTAGTTCTCATTTCCATAAACATATATAGAGCAGTAGAGCTAATACAGTGGCTGGAAATCATTTTATCCTTCGGTTCCTTGTGCTTCCCCATCTTCATAGAGAATGCGGTTCATGGTTGCTCAGAGCGGTTTGGAAAGAAGGTGGAAATGGCGCGACCGCGATTTCCATGCATTTTTAGACGCTGGGAGCAGGGAAATCTATATAGAGCGCCTTATTGTAATAATTAAAATATCGATATTTGGTGCCAGATATCGATTCTCGTATCGCATGGAGAAGGACAACGATATATCGCCATATCGATATATTGTAGTACAAACCCGTCTTTCGATTGTCCAAACTGCAGGAGCCAGTGAGTAGGAAGTGTCAAGGGAAGCTGCGATAAACAGAAGTAATTCTTAGAACTTTATCCACTTTATTCTTAGCCTAAAAATGGGCGCGACCATTTTTGAATTTTATGGGACTTGCTTCCGGTCTCATTAGCTTCCCGCTATTTTTAGCTGTACAAAACCACTAGTTCCCTTTCATGGGAACTTCGAACTGCGTCCTCTAGGGGTCGCTATGGGGAACGCCTCGTCGTTACCCGTGTCTGAAGCATACATTGAAAAAACATCAACTTGTTGGCCGGCGACAGCCATGACATCACTACCGGTGCGACTATAGTATAAATACCTACTCAGGGAACCATGGTTACATAAGTAACCTGAGACGTTTTGCTGCTTGATGGCCTACTGCAGATTGGTGTGTCTTACCATATTATTTTAGTGTATTATCTTAATTATGAACACACTGGTTTGTAATGCAAACAGTTTTACCATTTACTGCATGTTGATATTTTTCCTCATTATTTCCCTATTGCGGTTAATGAACCGGAAGTCTCGCCCATAGGCTTACTTCTGCATTTAGGAATAAGGTGGATATGTATCTACCCAGGTAAACATTTCATTTGTCATCAGAGAACTCACTGGTAAACTTTAATTTCTCACTTTTTGTTTGACAAAACAAACACATGACAAAATATTATCTAGTCTCTCTGACTCGTTCAATGTTGCGTTTTTACAGTTTTGTAAAATCAGAATGTTTTATTTTTCAATTCATGTTATGAAACATTTTATTTATAATTTCTTTATTGTCCCATGACATCAAGAGCTAAGCCAGAACAGCTTAGAGTGGCATGGTTAAATGGGAATTTCAGAAAAATTCAGATACTGTCACATTTCAATTTTTCAGCTGTTAGATACAGTGACAACCCACATACAGACTGGCAAGAAACCTTATATTTATAAAGACAAAGCAGAATTATGGATTGCTGTATATTTATAGCAATTATTAATATAGGTTAACATAAATTTCCTATTGTTTATAGCTAATTCCTATACATTTATTTTATAAATTCAATTTATAAAACTAGACATGTTAAAAATCCATTTGTATATGTAGATATCTTCATCTTGATTTTAAAAATGCTATGAAAATGTTGGTTGTTGTTAATTTTGCACCTTACAGTAAGCTTTTTGCACAGAATAGTAAATAGTATACACGTTTAGAACAACATGAGTAAATAATACGAGAGTAAATTATGACAGAAGTGTCATTTTTGGGTGAACACCTTTAAAGGGGTCATATGATGCGATTTCAAGTTTTCCTTTCTCTTTGGAGTGTTACAAGCTGTTCGTGAATAGATAAGATCCCTGAAGTTGCAAAGACTAAAGTCTCAAAACCAAAGAGATATTCTTTATCAAAGTTAAGACTTAGGTGCCACATTTTCCTCGTAGAGTTTGAAAACTTTTTTTTAATTGTCGAGACTTTTAAATAATAAATTGAATAGTTTTGTAATGTACCATAATCATATGTTCCCTCATAAATTCATTCATAAATAAATTCATAAATGTATTTTATTTTGATGTACAGTGCAATGTTTATTATATTCTGTACAATTATGTACGTGTCATTCTAGCAATATAAAAAAAGAGAGGGTCTGATAGAGACGAGATAGAGGGAATAAGAAAGAAGCTCGGGCAAAGTATTAGCTAGAGAAGGTTTATTATTCTCTGCAGCACTCAATCAAACATTGGCCCTATGAACAGAGAGTAATGCTAGAGAATCAACCTCAGGGCTTCTGTCTGTCTGTCTCTCTCTGTCTCTCTGTCTCGCTCTCTCTCTTTTATTCCTTACAGTGTGTGAGTGGTATCCATCTGTCAACTGTCAGTGCCAGTGAGAGATATCCAGAGCTGTCACATCTTGTCAGCTGTCTGAGCTGATGCCTTTTGCAGCTGCCTGGCCAACACACACACACACACACACACCGTCCCCAATGATGGCCAGCATGCAGGCGCACTAAATGGGGAAATAATGTGGCTGAAAGAAAGAAAGCAGATAAAAGCTGCATAAAAAAAATCATGAGCCGGAAGAGGGATGGAGGGATGGCAGGAGCAGACAGATTGTACAGAGGGACGATGAGTCAGATCCAGGCTGTAGAACTCTGTGGATGAGAGACTGAGTTGGAGAACCATCAAAGTACCGTGGACGGGGGGTTAGACGAGGGGCAGCGGGCATCCGGGCAGCGTGAGGAGGATTAACACAGAGAAAAGCTCAGAGATGGCTGTTTCAATGGCCATGAGATGAAAGGGACGAGTAGATGTATAACGGATATATAGCCTGTCCCACTTCAATACGCATTGGTTGTCCGTTTCTCCTTCAGTCTGCAGATTAATGTTCTCGATAGAGTTTCAAAGACCCGCGTGACTTTGGCGTTAGTTTGAATGGCTGTTAAACGGCTTGATGTAGCTATTTGGCTCTAGTCCCAGCTCTTAAAAATGATCTCCTTCTCCTTGTCTACTTTCAATCATTAGTGAAGATCTTCATAAGGTCTGGATGAATAAAAGCAAGACAGCTTCGGCTCCTTCAAAACCACTGTCGTTTTCCAGCATCTAAAGACGAGGGAGGAAAGGATCTTTTTGAAGTTTGGAAAAGCACCAGTTGAGTGTTGAGAGATCAGAGCAGGACATTCCCGCCTGACTTCCTGTCTTGATTTCACTCAACAGGAAGCAAGAAGTCAGGTGTGGCGGAGGGAAACAAAGCTACAGCTTATGTTTAAGACATCCATCTCTGGGGCCAGATTTGAAGGATTAGTTCACCCAAAAATTAACATCCTGACATGATTTACTCACCCTTATGTTGGACTGAACCTGCATGCTGTTTTTTCCCCCATGTTAAATAGAAAGTTGCTTGTCTAGATTCTTCAAGTGGAACAACATGATGATAGCATGTTGATTTTGAGGTAAACTCTCTGATATTGAAAGACTAAAGACAGAGGGTCAAGTGTTTAAATAATGTCTTCCCTATCTGACACAACATAATGATGAGAAGTACTGTGTTAGTGCAGAAAATAGGCGTGTGTGAGAAAGAGAGATAATTAAAGATTGAGAGATGTTGTTGATGTATATGTGAATTTTGTGGCACTTGACAGTTTCCACATTTGCATCTGTTGCATCTGACAGTTTCCACATTTGCATCTGGAAACTTTACCTCAGTAAAACTGATCTTCACCACTCAGAGTAAGGTGTGTGTGTCTTACACTGGCAAATGTGCGGTTGTACTTGATATTAAGGGATTAGTTCACCCTAAAATTAAATTCAATTCAAGTTTATTTGTATAGCGTTTTTCATGATACAAATCGCTGCAAAGCAGCTTTACAGAAAATTAAGTTTCTACAATATATTTAGTAGAAGCTTATCAGTGGTGACTATGTCAAATTGATGTACATATGTAGCTTATCTGTGGTGACTGTCAATTAATGTACATATGGCAGAAATGTACGGAAAAATCAATTTAAGACGTAAACCGACGATGAACACTATTAACAGCAATTATTATATGATGCAATCAAACTTGTAGCAAAATTTGGTAGTTTATGTTGTTTCAGGGTTGGCATCATCTGAGGTCCTCTGAGGGGTTGGCATCATCTCTTCTCATAAGGGCTGGATCCAGACTGAAGCTTGTGTAATTCCTAGTTACCGTGGCAGAAACAGAGAAACAAATAGAGATATAATTAGTGTAGCTGCTGTTCCAACCAAGCAAATATTATTTGTTCAACCCAAGCTAAGAAATAATAATGTGCATTTGATCAGATATAACTGCAGTACAAGATTATGAGATGCATTATTTGAATGCTTGGCCAAAGAGATGTGTCTTTAATCTAGATTTAAACAGAGAGAGTGTGTCTGAACCCCGAACGTTATCAGGAAGGCTATTCCAGAGTTTGGGAGCCAAATGCGAAAAAGCTCTACCTCCTTTAGTGTGCTTTGCAATCCTAGGTACTACCAAAAGTCCAGAGTTTTGCGACCTTAGGGAGCGTGATGGGTTGTAGCGTGGTAGAAGACTAGTTCGGTATGCAGGAGCTAAACCATTAAGGGCCTTGTAGGTAAGTAATAATATTTTGTAACTGATACGGAACTTAATAGGTAGCCAGTGCAGAGACTGTAAAGTTGGGGTAATATGATCATTAAAATAAATGTAATATGATCATAAAATTCAAGTACTGTCATCATTAACTCACCTATTTATCTATCATATGGCTTCAGAAGATTGTAATATATGCATAACTTTCATGGCGCTTCTCTTTTTCAGTGCTTAAGAATTGAAAATTACCTCAAACAAATGGCTTTTCCTTTTGTGATTAATCACCACATAAACAGGTGAGTCATTTTTTTTAACAATTGTGAGAATTAGAGTTTGTTGGTGAAATCATGTGTAATTGTGCATATTTTCTTACAGGTTCACTACCTTTACGGTGCTTTTTTCCGTTTTGGTGTTTGCTATTTAAAACCGCTATCCACTTTCATTGTATGTAAATGCAAAAACAGCAGCTCAGACATTTTGCAAAATTTCTCCTTTTATGCTCCACGGAAGGTTTGGACGCCACGGTGAGTATATGATGACAGGATTTTCAGTTTTGAGTGAACTATACCTTTAAAGGGGTCATATGATGCAATTTCAATTTTTCCTTTCTCTTTGGAGTGTTACAAGCTCTTGGTGCATAAAGAAGATCTGTAAAGTTGCAAAGGCTAAAGTCTCAAATCCAAAGAGATATTCTTTATAAAAGTTAAGAGTCAACCACGCCTACCTAAAACGGCTCGTTCTAACACGCCCCACATGTCTACGTCACGATGTGCGAAGATTTGCATAACACCGCCCAAATGTGCACGCAAAGAAAGAAGGCATGGTTTCAGGAACAGCAGTAGTGTTGATGCAGCCATGTCAGGGAGACGCTGTGTATTTCAGTGCGAAAGCAAAAGCACTTTATTAGGCCTTCCGGAAGATGCAATTAGGAATCATTGGTTAAGATTTATTTACAACAGAACAGCACAACCCAGATGTTCGAATTAGTGCAACGCATTTTATGGACGACAGCTTTTTGAACCTAGAAGAGTACAAGGCTGGATGTGCAAAAAGGCTATTTCTAAAAAAAAACAAAA